TATCTGATGTGAAACCATAATGAAAAGTTTGAATAGCTATAGAAGTATTATGTAGAATTCCCTCATGCATGAAAGTATCGGGCATTCATAAATTCGGCAGACTTTCATAGAAAACTTACTATGTGCTGCATACAGACTGTTGGATGGGTTGCAAGTTAGATATTCTAATATCAGAACCTCTTTGTGTGGCCCCCAAATAAGCTCAATGGTCATTTGTCAAGGCTGAAAACTATGCATGCTGAATATTTCCTCAAGCTTGCCACTCAATAGATAAGCTCCACGTGCACTTTTTTATATTACTTAATAATTTTCTGCTATAGAGAAAGGAAAACATGACCGGCACGGTGGCTCATGCCTGTAATCGTAGCAATCTGGGAGGTCGAGGCGGGCGGATTGCTCAAGAACAGGAGTTCAAAACCAGCCTGAGCAAGAGCAAGACCTCTTCTCTACTAAAAATAGAAAGAAATCAATTGACCAACTAAAAATATAGAAAAACTTAGCTGGGCATGGTGGTGCATGCCTTTAGTCCCAGCTACTTGGGAGGCTGGGGCAGAAGGATTGCTTGAGCCCAGAAGTTTGAGGTTGCTGTGAGCTAGGCTGAAGCCACAGCACTCTAGGCCAGGCAACAGAGTGAGACTCTGCCTCAAAAAAATTAAAATAAAATAAAATAAAGAAAAGAAAAAGGAAGACAAATGGGATGGATATAACCCATCAGCTTGTCAGGGTAGTTAGTGAATAAACTAATGGGGATGAAACATACATAGAAGAGAATGGAAGGATCAGGAGACACCTGTTGTTCTTGAGGCACTAAAAAATAATAAGCCAATAGGGTGCTAAATATTCAAGTTGCTCTAAGTACGGATGAGCCACGATACAACAAATATACAAGTAGCATTGAGTACTCGAAATACACTAAATACACATGAACACTCGGTACACACGAGAGCTCGACTCAGCGACCCATTGGCCCCAAGGTCTTCAGCCCCAGAAACGCGATAACCTCTGTGGCTGTTCAGGGGGCTGATTGGGGATCTCTTACAACCTGTGTCTCTCCCAAGAACAAGTGTGTGCCATTAACTCAGGACACCTTGCTCAAACGTCAATTATCCCATCTGCAGGAAAGACAGAGGTAAAGAGAGCATGTAAACATTGAGTACTGCAGGACTCGGTCCACACGGTCTTCCTTCCCGGGCACACTCTATCCTGTTAACTCACCGCATCTATGTTCCCTTTCATCTAGCTATTAATACATGTTTAAACTGATTAATAAACCATGCTCTGTTAAAAGTTTTAGTTGGTCTATGAGTGTTTCTATTTGGTGACCCCTCGGACGGCTTTCTTGGGATTGTACTTAAAGTCTACCAATGCATAGAGTTAATTTCCCACATGACAGCACTTTCTAAAGCATCTGCAGGGTTTGACTAATCCTGGTGATCAGATGCCATCTCACATACCTGCTGTCCCCGTTAATGCTGCAGCGTCTCCTTGCACTGGTGCTTAGATGACAGGAACTCTGAAACCATACAGATAACATTGCTAAAACTAACACTTTATATTAGTGGCGGTCTGTTCCAAGCCCTTTATATCTAGGCTTTCATTTATTCTCATGAGAAACTGATGATGATAATTATCCTCCTCATTTTACAGATGAGGGAGCTGAGACACAGAAAGATTAAGTTGCTTCTCGAGGTCACACACCTAATAGGAGGTAGAGTTGCAATCCAATCCAAGCGGTGTGGCCCCAGAACCCTTGCTTTAAATACTGTGTTTAAGGCTGCCTGTTGCCTTTGTGCATGGCCTTTGAATTTCACAGTCTCTTAATACACATTACCCTTTTGAACTTGTCAATGAAGCTACATTTTTCATATTCCCCACTCCTCAGCTCACATTGGGTTTGAAAAACATGGAAATCATTTTGAAGGAGAGAATAGCAGGAAGTTGAGGGGACTGCATCTAGCACCAGAATGGGGCTTTAAATTAAGAATCTGTGCAAGACTGAGTTTTGCAGAGTGGTCAAGCCGGGAAGAAGGTACAGGCAGGTGCAGCACTCCTCGTGTTAGGATGACGCCTTTCCCTCCACCAGGTCTTCACCACCAGGGGAGTCTAAGCATGGTTGGGATGGAAAGAGACTTCCACTGCCACATGCAAATGATTTAAACTTCATAAGAGATTGCTTAGAGGTCTTCCTTCCATTGCAATTAAACTCTGTTCTGCTCTTTCGAATCCTGCTCCTGTAACTTCATACACATGATCATATTTTACCCACATCCGATCCTATAACCAGGTAGTGACTTTATTTTAGAGGTGAGGAAATGGAGGCTCAGAATGCACAGTAATAGCCCCAGATTACAATGCTAATAAATCATAAAAGTTGATTATAAACCCTGGTCTCAATGACAGCAGGATACATTCTTTCCATAGTATCTCATCACTGGTAAGCCTATAACTGATAAGAAAGGCAAAGAGTCATACTGTCACAAGAACTTTTCACCCCATTCTATAAGACACTCCCTGGCAATGAGTCATCTCTGCCTCAGCCCTTCTTCTGGAGAGCTGGGTTTGGTTGGGCAGAGTGGCTGGCTGACTTCCTGGGAGACCAGCAGGTTGCAGATATGGCCGAAGGAAGCACGAGAATGAGAACGCCTTGAAAGGGGCACCGTTTAAATGTGACTTTTCTCTGAGAGTGGTCAGTTTTCATGAGTCATAGAAATTTTCTCTGCTCCACCTCCAACCTCATTCACAGTTCCTGAGTTTTTAGGGCTAGATCAGCATATCCAGTATCAGCTTTCAAAAATATCACATTGGTCACATGTGGCCTATATTGTCCGACATTCCAGAAACGCACCTTTTGATTTGCACGTCCACACACCTAACAGCTCACTCAGGCAGCGCCGACCTGCACAGCAATTTGCTCCACGGGTCATCTGCCATCTGTGCTTACCTCACTGTGGGAGGCAAGAGAATTCAGAAGATGGCATGGGATTTGTCCCTAGTTAATAGAACCATAACCATTAATGGTGACAAGTAGCATTAATATGCTTTTAAAGCAGGAGCAAATTATGCCTGCCTGTAATTCTAATATATTATCAACTAATTGATCATAGCTCTCTTTATAGATTGTAAAATAAGTAAATGGTCCATAAAATAAATAAACATTTATAATACTAAAATTGTACAATTCTTATAACTTGCTGATTTTTTTAACAAATCTCTTGATGAAGACTTTCTAATTAGAACTTAGATCAATGGATCCTAACATATAGGAAAGAGACTCCAAGAGACTTTACAGTTATTGCAAAATGTCCATGAATCCATACAAATTAAAAACATAATAGACGTTGCAAAAATATATTACTATTTTTCAAATTATGATTATTCAAATATAAATTTTCATTGAACAAAATGGAAATCCATATATAATTTATATTGAATTCATAGTAATTTTGTTCTTAAATCATTTATTTTTGTCTAAAAATGCACTTCCTGTTATATAGAAATTGTCCTCACATTCTGAGAGTCTGGGAACCACTGCTCTAGCCAGCCTCTCTTTCTCTGGTCTCACACCCATTTGAATCATGAACAGAGAATCTTTGACACAAGTTGTCAAGATTTCTTCACAGGCACAAGTGATCTGCATCTGACTCAGCCTGGGATTCCTCTGCTTCCTCCTTTGCCTTTAGTATTATCTGCCTGAATCAGCACTGCAAACTCTTCTTTGGTGAGTTGCAATAGAGGCCCAGCCAGGGGTGGAGAACCTGCTGCCTTTAGACTACATGTGGCCCTCTAGGTCCTTAAGTGTGGCCTTTTGACTGAATCCTTAAGGACACAGGTTCCCCACCCCTGCAGACCAGGCAAAGTTCACTCCTTTTTGGAGCTTCCTTGATTCTGCAAGCAGAGTTGCCCCACACCATGCCTCGTACCCCTCTGTTATGCCACCTAACACAGGGCTGCTAACCTCAGCTCACAAAACTCCAAAAGGCAGCAAGGGGCTGAGATCATGCCCCTTGGGAGATGGTAGCTGTCCAACAGAATTCTAAGTGCAAAAATGGCACAGCGATTATTATATAGGTTGCACCTACTAACCACTGAATGAACCATAGGTAATACTAATAATCAATAAATCTCTTCACCCTACTTTTGGATTCTATCTGACCCCCGTAAAGACATCAGTAAATTAAGAGGGCAATGGCAGTGAGGAAAACAGTGACCCAGTGGGGTAGAGTTGTCATAATTAGGAGAAGAATGGAAGAAAGAGGATATATAGTAAAAATTTTTTAAAAAATTTTAAAAAATGGTGATAGAGTGAAAAACTGGAGGCAAGTTTGAGGGTGGGACTAATAGTAGCCGCCTTTTATTAAGTGCTATGATATTCCTGTACTGCTGTTAAGGGTAATGCAAATACCAATTTATTTGATTTCCTAAAAAAAACAAAATGAGGTCTATGTTATTTCCCCTGTTACAGACAAGTAAACGTAAACACAGAGAAGTTAAGTAATTAGTCCCAAACCCCATGCACAGTGAGTGGCAGAGAGGGATCCACAGCCAGGTGGCCTGGTGTTGGAAAGGCACCGTGAGCCCTTGTGAGGGGAGACTTGAATTTCACTAACCTCCTACACCATCCCCAATTTCTTTGCATAAATCACACAAGTCTGGGATGACAGATAGGTACAGAGGAGAGTGAGGGTGACAGTGAGAGAGAGAGATCTGGGGGCACTTGCCCTCAGACAGATTACTAAGTAGTTTCACATGTGTTTAATTCTTATCACAACCATCCTGAGAAATTATTAATATTACCCACTTTTTAGAGTCCTTTATTTAAAAGTTGACTAATGGCCGGGCGCAGTGGCTCACGCCTGTAATCCCAGCACTCTGGGAGGCCGAGGCGGGAGGATTACCTGAGGTCAGGAGTTCGAAACCAGCCTGATGCAGCAGGAATACTTGAGCCCAGAAGTATGAGGTTGCTGTGAGCTAGGCTGATACCATGGCATTCACTCTAGCCTGGGCAACAAAGCAAGACTCTGTCTAAAAGAATAAATAAATAAAAAAATAAAAGTTGACTAAGACACAGAGAAGTTTATTAATTTACCTAATATCACACTGAGAGGGACTGGTGGAACCACTTCCGAGCAGGAAGTAAATCAGACAATTACATGAGATACTCAACACTTTATAAAATAGGCTCTGTATTAGTTGATTTTGCCCAACTACAGGCTAATGTAGGTGCTCTGAGCACATTTAAGGTAAGCTAGGCTAAGCTATGATGTTCAGTGGGTTAGGTGTATTCCTGCTATCTAATTACCTTTATCTACTGCACAGCAGAATGGTCAGCTTAAGATAAGTGTTCAATAGGGCATTTTGTAAATTAACGAGATGATAATTTCAAGGGCAGACATGTCCTGCAACTCCAGGCAAGACACTTGGGCTGAGAAAGAAGAGGAGGATGGATGAGGATTGCTTCCTTCCTTCCTTCCTCCTCTTCACCCCTCCCTCCTTCCTTCCTTCCTCCTTTCTATTTTTCTGCCTTCCAAAAAATATGCACAGGCAGTCCTTACAATGGTATAACTGGAGATTTTTTTGGCTTTACAATGATGTGAACACAATAGGCATTCAGTAAGAACAGTACTTCAAGTATTCATACAGCCATTCTGGTTTAGCTTTCAGTTTAGTATTCAGTCAATTACATGAGATACTCAACACTTTATAAAATGGGCTCTGTATTAGTTGATTTTGCCCAACTACAGGCTAATGTAGGTGTTCTGAGCACATTTAAGCTAGGCTAAGCTATGATGTTCAGTGGGTTAGGTGTATTAGATGCATTTTTGACTTCCAATGTGTTTATCAGGACGTAGCCCCATCATAACCCAGGGAGCATCTGTATTGATTATCCACTATATGATAAAAACCCCAAGTCTAATAAGATGTACCTCTCTTAGCCCCCAATAAGCTTATAGTAAAATGAGGAGAGATATCTATAATCAAGCAATTAAAAGGCAAAAATGCCATGGATAAATATTAGTAAGTTTCCATGTGTGGGGACCCTTCAGGTAAATACTGATTGATGAGCAGAAGTTAGAAGGATAAACGAGCTGCTAAAAACATTCCACCCTGAGAAAACAACATAGGCATCATATGGGTATGAACCTGTGTGATGCAGAGAAACCAGAATTCTTTAACGTGGCTGAAGTGAATGAGGAAGTGATGCAATGGTGGAGTCACTGGGCTGGGGAGAGCCTGGCACTCTGAGCTAGGGAGTCGGAGCTCCTCTTGAGAAACTAGAGACAGGCTTGTAAGTCTTTTAATCAGAAGGATGTGTCAGGAACAAGAGTGAACGGTGGAAGGAGACATTTAAGACATGGAGATGAATTGGACTACATTTCTGATACAGGCTTGGATTGAGAATGAGCAAAAACCATGAGATCATTCTAGGGCATCTTCCCAGAATATTCAAGTTTATGTAGCAATGTGTAGTTTCAAATACTATATCTAATGTGGCTAGAATGTATATCATAGAGGGGAAGTGCAAAGCAAATAAAATTTTAAGAAAGAATATAAAAATTAAATATTTCTGCTTTTAACTGCAATCATTTTAGGTTATGGCTCTGCTTCTATCTCAAATTGTCTCCCTGGCACTTCTTTCTAATGAGGGAGGGATTAGGAGGAAAAGTCTCAGGATCTTAAGAAGGGACTGCCGCAGTCATTCATACAAGAAATGACGAGCTGGGGAAATGCACACAGGGATGGTGAGCAAAGGATAGGTTTATGTGACACCAAAACAGCAGGCTCTACAGGACTTGGAGAGAGAGTTAGATGAAAGACAAGGGGAAAAAAAGAGAAAGTTCAGGGTGCCTGAGGTTTCTGCAGGAAACGTGAGAACTAGAAAGAAAGCCACAGGTGTAGAAATGCAGAGGAAGAGTTCGGTTGTGGATGTGCCAAGCTGGAGGTGCCTGCAGGACATTGCAATAAAGAGGTGGCAGAACACAGACCAGAAAATCACTGAGTGCGCTCTCTGGGGAAGCCACGGGTGTGAATGAGGGAACGTGCGTACAGTAAGGAGAGAAGAAAGCCAAGGGAGCTCCCAGGAAGCATGGATATTTAAGGGGTAAAGCAGTGGAAAAAGAGACAGCAAATGAAATGAAGGTGGCAATTTTCAAAAGCAAGGAGGAAAATCAAAGGGAGTGGTGTCATAAAAGCAAAGAACACATTTCAAAAAGGAGGAGGTCAACCTGTGCAATGCTGCTGAGAAATCAAGAATCTCCTCTTTCCTTGGCCCAGGAGCGTGATGATGGCTCTGTGCAGTTTTACGAGAGTGTGCTCCTGCTGAAGAGAGAACTCTGTGTTAGTGAGCACTAGGGGGAGAGAGGAGGGCAAGGCCTGTCTGAATCAACCGGAGAGAGGCCAGCCAGGTGGGGGTTCATAAGTACAGATGTAGGCATTGCTTACAATCTCTTCTAAAACTGTGGCTCGAAACCCCTGGGTGGAGGGCCAGTACCGGTCGGTGGCCTGTTAGGAAGGGGTCCACACAGCAGGAGGTGAGTGGTAGGCTAACAAGTGAAACTTCATCTGTATTTTCACCGCTCCCCATTGCTCACATCACTGCCTGAGCTCTACCCTCCCTGCCCCCACCCACCAGCATCCCTGTCCATGGAAATATTGCCTTCCATGAAACCAATCCCTGGTGCCAAAAAGGTTGGAGACCACTGTAAAAGACCATGTTAAGAAAGTCACTTAAACATATGAAGTCACCTCTTGATATTTTTTCTGATTTATTGTACATATATATATTTTTTCTTCTAAAGTACAAGAGGAATCCCCTAAGAACTAAGTCAGTGCTCCTGAGAGAATGCCAGTCCACTGCTGTAGCTGGAGTTGAGTTTTCACTAGAGAATTCAGCAAAGGATGACTTCTTGTTTAATGGAGCAGTGAGAAAGAGGGATGATATCTAAAGGCTCAACGTGATGAAAATGCTCTAAAACTTGACCATGGTGATGGTTATACATATCTGAATATACTGGAAATTATTGGTCACTTTAAACGATGAGTTATACGTGAATAAAGCTATTAAAAATGGGGAAAAAAGTAGGGACCATATGTAACTTGATCCTCATCTCTAAAATAATAAAATGGGAAAATTGCATCCCTAAGTTTGACATTACTTTTTAGCACTACCTAAGTGTACTCACTCTTCCTAACAATCGCCTTTTGTTTTCACTGGACTCAGCCCCATTCAAAAGGTATCAGGAGGATGACTCACCTGGAACTGTGCTCCTCATTTTCCACACCCTGATGTGAAATGGAGACCCATTTTACACCTAAGAAGCCCTGCCTTTGGTCCACTAAAATTCTGTTGTCTAAAATCATACAGGTTCAAGTTTCATAGAGAAAGAATAGCAAGCAGGCTATCCAAAGTGATGTCTATTCATCTCTGACAAATCTTCCCAACACTTTTCAGTCATTGTTATTGCTACAATATAATTGTTCATATGCAAACAGAAGTAGCACAAGAAACAAAAAAGGCCATGTTATCACTGTCGCCTTTTGGACTTGGTGGCAGAGTTCATTATACTTCATCGTAAGGGACAGCTGTCACAGTCACCAGCACTGCGCCTCTCAGGGAAGGCTAAGCATCATTTTGTTTGTTAACACCCTCTTCCTGGCTGTTGTTCAGTACAGTCTTAGAATTGCTTGATGTACAGTAATTATTTTTCCCAGCTAATAAAAACACATTTTTTTCTTTCTTTCTCATTTAGAAGGAAAACTACAATTGCTACTGTTGAGAGAAATTGTGAACTCTAACCAACAGTATAACTCTTTCACGTTTTCTTAGTAATTCACTGAAAACTTTCAGTTTTATCTGCCTTTGTTGTACCATCTATAGCTTCCTGTTACAAGCTTGCTTCACTACCTGCATCCTTCAGGCACACACAGACACACACCCAGGTACACATGCAGGTGTGGCCCTCTTGCACCCCGTAGAAAGTGCAGTACTTTTGTTTTGTTTGTACATTTCAGAGGTAACCACTAAAGCATGACTCACGAGGCATTCCTGGGGACCACTTTGTCTTCACTGGGTTGCAGAGGTACTTATGCAATTTGGCCATATTCTTGGCATTGTAAAATAGGTGTAATCTTATTTTCTACGTCTGGAGGCTTTTGCAGTGCAGTGACGATTACACAGTTAAGAGGATTGATATGACATGTACCGTGGTTGAGTGATTTAGGTCTTGGAAGGGGATTTTGTGTATGTGTCTTGCTTTCCTGTTCTATCATGCACTGTAGACCTCTGTAATATCTTTTTAAGTAACTCAGACACATCTTTTGGGATCTTCCCTAGCTTTACTCCATGCTCTTTTAGCCCCCTTATTAATCTCCTTACACAGACAGCCTTGTTCTTTGCAGATCATTTTTCATCAAGGAGCTAGTCTTTATTTCCTATTTTTCATGGTCTTCTCATGTAGTAAACATTCCAGAGCCTACACATTTCTCTTCTTCTTTTTAATTTAAAAAGGCACCTGAATTTCTTTTTTGGGCATAATGTCAAATTCTAAAAAAAAATTGTCAAGCATAGTTCTTAAATTCCTCCAGGGAGAAAGTGATAACTTACTTTCTTGTATTTCGTTCACTTAAACTTGTAAAGTGAATTTCATTTTCTCTTAAGAAGTATCATTTCAATATTTTGAATGGGATATCCCTGGACTGATATTGTCTTTCTAGCTTGGCCTTTTTATTTCCCTTCTGAATGCATTTTTTTTCTGAATTATTCAGTGTGTTGTTTTCTCATCAACATGTAAATCTACCTAGACGAGATGTGTCTAAGACTGAGATGCCAATGTTTGCTTTAAATCTACCCTCATACTCGTAACTTGGCAAGAAACATTAACATGCAAATACTCTTTATAAGAATACCAATTACTAATGTATTTCCCAACTCCACTCCTTGCTGGTTTCACTCAAAAATGAGGAGATTTAACACTAAGACCCCTGAGGCAGTGAAGATGCCAACTCACAAATGATGATAATCTTGTCTACATTTTGATATTGGTCTGCTAGGAAAATCCCTCTTGGGTGATGCTTTTGGCAGAACAATGACACAATAATTTGTACCAAACAACCTCCCAGGTAAGAGGGAGAAAAATGCCAGTGAAACAAATAACAAGATTAAGTAAGAACATGGGAGTTCCTTACAACCAAATCACTAAATGACACCCAGAAGTGTCATAGGACAGGGAGCACAAGCTTTCAAAGAGCTTGTACATCAGAAAGCAGCTTTTAAAGTTAAACATGTCAGAGATTAATAAGATCTGGGACAAGTTGTGACTCTGTTCATACTGTTTATATACTGACAGTTCTCTAGGTGAAGCGAGGAAGCTCTGGGCCCGGGAAGGGAACCCTGAGCACTGTCAACTAAGTCCTGAGGTAAATGTGTCTTTACATGGTGGTGCTTTTGACCAGTGGAGATGGAATTTTTGTTTATGTTATAGTTTTGTGTTTTTAACCTTTAGAATGAAGAGTGGGAGGAGACTAATTATTTAAATATAATTTTTTCCTATTTAGAGCAGTGGTTCTCAATCCAGGGCAATTGTACAGCCTGTTCCCATGACATGTTTGACAATGTCTAGAGATGATTTTAGTTGTCACAAATCAGGAGGGGGACGCAACTGGCATGTAGCAAGTAGAGACCAGAGACGCTGCTAAACATAGTACAATGCACAGCACAGCCCCCTACAACAAAAATTATTCATGCCAAAATTTCACTAAGCCCAAGGTTCAAAACCTTCATTTAGATCAACGGAGTATACAATTATGTTATTTTTAACCTTTTGATAGCCAAAGATTAAAGCATGTTAATAATCAAATATATACTTTGCAGTTATAAATTCTGCTTCTATAAAAGTCATGAGCACTGGTTTCAGTTTCTGTAGCTCTTCAGCTGATTACTACAATTAGAGAAAGAAAATAGCATTTTGTGCGAAACAGAGTAATTTCACAATGAAGCAGTGTTTTCATTCATCAGTCGGGCTTAAAGCCAAACTAATTTTTGTGCTAAGTTTTATTTCTTTATTGATTTTGAAATAATTTCTGTGTTAATTATAATAAAACAGTAATGTATGTGATTGTTGATTTTTTCTAAAATATAATTAAAAATCAATTATTCGTTCTCAGACAGCATCAAATAACAAAAAAATGAAAATAAGCAGCGCATTTTCTCAGTCTGAAGCACCACAATTTTTAGAGAATACAAAAGGAATAGGTCCACGTTTCTAATGGAAACCTTGAAAATAAGTCCTGAAGCATTGGACTCTGAATTGCGAGTTACCCAGTTTCACATTGGAGACCAGTCTCTCAGCTCAGTAATCAGCAGCGCAGTAATCAGTACGAACCTCTGTGTGGTGATGAAAATATAAATTCTCTCTTTAGCTTTTAAAACCTCTAAATTGGTTACTTGCTAACTATGGTTTTCATGTCTTTAGCTATTAAATGGACAGAAACAATGTGGGTATTGAAAAATTTACATTATTCTGTATCTGGTTTCAGAAAGAGAAATATTACATGTCAGAAAAAAAAAAACAAAAAAAAACCTCATTGTGTTGTTCCAATCAGTCTCCACGTTGTAACTCTCCTCAAAGGCCTGGTGCCCTGTGGCCTTGGCCTCGGCCTCCCTTCCCCAGCAGAGCGTCGGATAGTCATGAGACCTCTGCCGGGGCGGAGCGGGCCTCAGAGAGCTGCTCCATGGGTGTGTGCCCGAGAGCGGGCGGCAGGCTTCCTTCTCCTCGGTCAGCTCTTAGCATCACACTCTCCCAAAGCAGCCTTTTCAAGTTTCTCTGTGCGGATTTTATGGAGAAACATCTTAAAAACTACTTCTCTCATACAATTTCCTTTCAAAAACGCATTCCACAAGTGGACATCTACTTAATCCACGAATCCAAAGAAAACAATGTCACAGTATTCTCTAGTGCTGAGTCCTGAGGACGGTAGGGCAGGACGATGAAAGGAAGGAAGCCATTCTGACCCGGTTTCTCTCTAGGACGTTAACTGCACTTCCGGCGGCTGCAGCTCTCTTCAAGGCACTGGAAGTGCAAGGTCACACGGACCGCCTGTTAGGGGGTAACTTGTGCAGCCCCTAGCAGCCTCTTTCCTCTCCCATAACTGGCTGCCTATCTTAGATTCCCTGCTTATTAGTCAAAACCATTTCTAAAAAGTCTACATTTCTAAAGGGTCCTCCCTGAACACCTCTTCAGTGGTGCACATCTCCCCCAAATGGCCTGAATGCAGCACAATGGTGCAGCCGCTGTGACCTCTCCAGGGTCATTTCCCTTCATTTCCCTGGGTTTCACTACGTGGCCCCCTGACTCTGGCCGCTGGCAGTTCCAGGATCACACCACACCGTGTCTCCCGGAGGAAGAGAGACTCACACTGCCCACTGCTCGGGGATCCCTCTCTGGGCCTGGCTCCGTCCCTCCCAGGGCTTGATGTTGGCTTTGGGTCCCTCCCTTTTCCCTGACAGTCCAGGTGGCCTCTGTGAGCACATCCCCTCCCCTGTCCTGGGGCTTCCCAGCTCTTTGCAGCTGTGTCTTCCTGGACCCACCGCATTTCCTGGTGCCCAGGAGATGGTACCATCACTGAATTAATGAAAGAATGACAGAATGAATTAACAGTCCTGTGTTGAACCCTCGATCTATAACGGAAATTCCAAAATCAACCGCAGAAAGCTGTTTAACAAGGAAGAGTACAGATGATGTTCTGGACTGAATCGGGTCACCCTATCCCCCAAACTCATAGGTTGAAGCTCTAACCACCCAATGTGACAATATTTGGAGATGTGGATTTTAAAAAGAAAATCAAGGCTAAACGAGGCTGTAAGGGTGGGGCCCTCCTTATGAGAAGGGGAACAGCGGGAGGAAGCCGGGCGGGAGAGCAAACTTCTGCAAACCAAGGGAGAGGCCTAAGGAGAAACTGACCCTGCCAGTGACTTGGTGTGGACATCCAGCCTGAGAACTGCAGGAAAATAAGGTTTGGTTGTGCACGCCATCCATTCCTTGGCATTGTGTCGTGCAGCCCGGACTGACAGTGCAGATGACAGCACAAGCACTAGATGGGCGCCTCCTGTGTACCGAGCATGGGCTAGCCTCCGCAACATCCTACCTCATTTAGCACCACGGTGACTCCAGATGATGTACTACCAAAATAAACCACTGAAACAATCTCCCGTGGGATCCTTTCATAGACTCATTTTCTTCTTCTTGCGATTTGCTTTATGTAGATGAAAATCAGGCTCTAGTGTCTACGATCTAATTCAAATCATTGACACCTAGACACTTTACTGGGCAACAACTTTTCATTAAATTGAAATATAAATCCTTTCCGATGTGATAGAATAAAATCCTTAGACTGGATCACTAAAAATATATTTCTAGTTTTCTTAATGCTCCAGCAATATGTATAAGTCATAAATAAACTAATCACTTTAATGAGCCTTCGTTCTCTGGCGTGCTCACAGTATTTTGACAGTGTCTTCATGTGGACTAGTTGAGATGATCCTGGGATAGCTCTCACCCCGCTCCAGAACTCACCTCGCGTTATTAATCGTCACCACTTCTCTGGCTGGCCCGCCCGGCTGTGCATCTTGTGAGAGCAGCAACTGTCTTATTCCGTTTCCTCAGCTGGGAGGTGGGGATCGCATAAGCACTGCCTCCTAAGATTAAATGAAGTGATTGATAACTGGCCTGGTGTGCAGTAAGAGTGAGACAAATGGCAGGTGTGACTGCGGTGTCCTTACTGTTATTGTCATTGCTGTGACCACTGGCTTTTGGAACTGTGCTGACCACAATTCCCAGGCCACGAGAGTGCCCTGGTGTCTTCGGGCAGTTGAGCTGCCATGGAAAATTACCATACACTCTGTGGCTTATAAGCAACAGAAATGAATTTCTCGTTGTTCTGGAGGCTGAAAGTTGGGGGTGTCTTCCTGGCTGCAGATGTCTGCCTTCCTGCGGTACCAGCACATGGCAAGAGAGGACTAGCTCTCTTCCTCCTCTTATAGGAGCACTCATCCCATCCTGGGAGCTGCCCCCTATGACCTCCTCACCTCCCAAAGGCCCCTCCCCCACCTCCTAATATCATCCTATTGGGGGTAAGGGCTTCAACATATGAATTTTAGGGAGACACAGACATGCAGACTGCAATACCCAGTGTTTGTGGGATGCATTAATTAAAATCATTTCACTATTAATTCTAGCTAAGCAATGTCAGTTCATACTAGATTTCAGGCTGTCTGAGGACAGGGAATATTTTTGATGTGATTCTTCTCTATATCAGCCCAGCACTTAGTATTTAGTGAAAGCTCAAGCGACGTTGGTTAGAATTCTTTGAAAGGATCGTAGGAGTGGGGTGTGTGCATGAAGACAAGGCTTCTACGGATAACTCAGGGGTGCTGAAATTTTCCTGAACCAATTCCCTCCCAAATTAAGAAGGGTATGGATTTAGGGTTATTACTCCGTGAAGCTTGATAAATAAGTTGCTTCTGATTTCTTGGGGAGTTTAGATAGTAGCAACTTCAGTTTGTCTTAGCTTTTTACTCCATTAACCCAAAAACAGGTACACAGTAAACTTTATTATTAATTGGAATCCACATCTTCTTGTGCTTATTTATTTAGTTAGTTCAGTATATCTCAAGAGTTAGTACACTAATCTGAATTACTCAGTATCTTTTACAAATGAACCTTTAATAGAGTGAAATTTTAAACTCTTTTAGTAATATTTTAAAAAGCAATTTCATGACGTTGATGTAGTTGTGAACAAATATACAGTATTAACTTAAAAAACAGGTCAGTAAATTATTTCATATCATATTACAACATTTATTTAAGTACCATCTAACAGTGTTCACAACATTTAAAGACACATCTCAGCTTTTTCCATCTAAGAATAGTACTCATGCTTCCATTTACTGTTAAATAAGAATACCTGAAATACTGTGGGCTTTTCTTTTTTTAATTCAGTATATGAGGGGTACAAATGTTTTGGTTACATGTATTCCTTTTGTACTGCTTGATTCAAAGTTATAAGTATGCCCATCACTCAGATAGGGTACATCGTACCTGTTAGGTATGATTTCACCCATCCCCTTCTCCCCCCTCCTACCTACATGATTTCCACTGAGTTTTACTTTCATTTGAGTTGCATGAGTGCTGATCAGTTAGTTCCACTTTAATGGTGAGTACATGTGGTGTTTGTCTATCCAGTCTTGTGATACTTCGGAGAATGGTCTCCAGTTCCATCCAGATTATTGCAAAAGGTATTAATTCATTTTTATGGCTGAGTAGTACTCCTTGGTGTACATATACCACATTTTATTAATCCACTCATGAATTGATGGGCACTTGGGTGTGTGGATTCCACATCTTTGCAATTGTGAATTGTACTGCTATAAACATTCTAGTGCAAGTTTCTTTTTGATAAAATGACTTTTTTTTTCCTTTGAGTAAATACCACAAAGAACTAAAACTAGACTCACCATTTGATCCAGTAATGTGGGCTTTTCCAACAACTAAATACAAAATTGCATATTGTATCATTTTGGATTTGGGTATTGAAGGCATGTGCATGCATTTTTAAATAGTAGATTGAAATTTAACTATAATTATAAACATCAAATATGTTTCATAAACTGATGCTTATCTTTTTTTCTGAAAAAACCACGGGTATATTTTTATAATTTTTTGTGTGCCGTTTCTAAATTAGGGCACGAGAGTTTTCAGGCTGCTCTTTGCAAGCTCTTTTCTAAAAATAATACAATGAGGACATGGAACGTCTTTATTCTGAACAACGGAAGACAATTTGGACATAATCATCGCTACATTTTCCCTTTTCAACATTTGTTTTTGAAGAGCCAGAGACATCCTGAAATGCCATATAAGAATTTGGTTTAGATGAATGCAAATTATCAACCTGCTGATCAATTCATCTTGAGGCAAATTTTCAGAATTAGTATCAATTTTGTATACTTCAATACTTATTGTATTTCACCATCAATGTTTTTAAACAATAATATGCTCAGAATGAAGGCTATCAAGTTGTGCATATTAATGGCATTCAGCCACTAATTGACACATTATGAAACTCATCTAGTTGCCACCACACACCATACGTGTAACAAAGGTACCAAATCGCCCAATTTAAAAGAAAAGAAAATCTCAAAATTAGTGTTTCATCAACATTTTTACAAAGCACACATTGAGACTGATATTATCACTACCTTTGATAAGAGAAAAAAATAGAAAAAGGAACTCTGGAAGTTTGTGACTCACCAACTGGGAAGCTCTTTCTAGATTATTCTTCCTGTCTCTTTCAATCCGTCCTCTATTACAAGAACTTACAGAAGTTGACCATCATGTAAAGTTCATGGGAGGAAGGTAGTGGGCACTCCTCAATCTTTTTTCAAAACAACGAGGAAATCTGTGAGACAGGGGTTGCAGTGAAGAAATCCAGGAATGATTTTGATTGTTTAAAAGTTAGTTTTTCATTAGACCCACTTTGTTTCCTAAATGGGAAACCACCTCATTGTAATCACCTTACACCTGAGATGAAGATGAAGTTTTTAATGTTGTTTGGGAATACTGCTTCCATTCCTTGGTGGGGGTGTGGAGGGAGGGTGTCATTATTATGGTGTTGGCACTTTGTTTTTAGGATTGCAAATTCTTAGCACTAAGGCACTAGGCTGTCCTTCAGCATGAACATGAAGTAAGCACCTGAAATCCATTTCAACTCTGACTTCCCTGGGGCTGCCATGGGCTTTGCCTTAGGAAGCACATCCTTTAAGACACCCTGTTCATCTCCACCAGGTGCCCTTCACCTCCAAAATTCCACTGACATAATTTCCCCTTTTCTTAACCCAGCTCTTTGGGAGCATTCACTGGCTCCTTCCACTAATCCAGATTTCTGACTTTTCCCTTTAAGCGCATTTTGGTGATTCTCCCACTCAGCCCGGAGCATTTCTCACCACACATTTTCCTCCTTGCCTTAGTCCAGTCCATTAGGTCATAAGAACGGTCTTTGTCATTAATCTCGCCTGTCCAAATCCTGAGTTTCTCTGGAAGCTGAAACCCATATAAAATTCCTGAAGCACTACATTTCCAATCTCTATAACTGACTTTAAAGTTCACATCCTAAAATAGGTTTGCTTCATGCAATATGTGATGATTCAGATGTAGCCATTTATCAGAGTATATTCTTACCAGATTAATTTTCTAGTAAAAATATTGCCTTCATTTTCTATTTACTTTGCTTATAAAAAAAATCCATTTTTTGTTTGTATTTAAAGGTCTTCATCCATCAGTTTAATAAATTTAGTTCAGTCCATTCCCAAATAATAAAGGAGGAGTAGAGTCCTAAAAATATAAAAATTTAAGGATTCTATAATTTAGCAGACTAGGACACAGAGGTAGTATGACTGCACTCACTTATTTAATTATAAAATAAGAGTTGGTAATTTACATGACTTGTCTATGGTTGACCTAGAAATTTAATGAAGAGTGAGGACTGGAATCTGTAAAGTCCAACTAGCATATTTATTCCTACTCTTCTGGGCCTCATTTATTATGCTTGAAAAACATATGTTGTGATTAAATGATTTTATATATTATAATATGCACACACATCCATACCTACCTATTCAAACCTCTCATATTCTGATGAATAATATCAATATCTGGATCACTTCAATAAAATCCTTCTATAGGAGTGGAAAGTGCACTGAACCAGGAGACAAAGAAAAAATTCTGGGCATATTCTCAGCCTTCGCTCAGTTACTTTCTGGTCACGTAAACTTGAGCAAATGATGTAACTATTTTTGAACTTTAGCTTCCTGATCTATTGTCAAAAATCTTGGTGTCAAGCTCAGGTTGTGCCATGATATGTCGCAAGCATGTGCCTCTCCTACAGCTTGGTGTATATATATGGTTATAGCCCTCTGCCTCTTTTTTGCCTCCCAATCAATTACTTACTATTAATATTAATATCTTAATGTTCTTATTAACAAGAAGTCCAATAGCTCTTTCTTGATATATCCTTTCCAACCTAAGAACTCTACTTAGCTCAGAAGTGTTCAGTACTACTTCCAAGCACGAGACAGAGAGAGAATTGGGAAGTCAGATAAGTGCACTGACATTGTTGCTTTCATTGCTTCCAATTGACATTACAGTTGAACCAGCACTACACAGTCCTGTGACTCCTAGGGTCATAAATAGACATGCTTCTGCTAGTTTAGAACTCACCGTAAAGCAGAGTGAGCCTCACACTTGAAATTGTGGAAATGTGCAAAATGCAAGTATTACCTAGAATTTTCAAAATGCAATTAAGGCTTACAAGATTATCAGGTTTTAACGGCATTGGAGTTCGGGAATACCAGGCTGCTTATTTTGCATTTACGATGGAAACCATGAAGATTATGTTCCTCTGCTAAAGTTATTTAATTGAAATAACTCTAGAGTAGGCCATGAAGTATGTTTTTTGAAAGATGGTGTTTATTTGAATTGGGCATCGTGTTATTGGAGCTACACCATGTAGACAAATGTGTATATAAAAGTCTAATTCATCAGAGGGCTATCCTGAGAGCAAATGAATAACAAGAGTCAAGGGACATTAACCAACACTCCTCAGGGAACTAAACCAGCAACTGAAAATATAGATAAGGCATTTTTTAATATCCTTGACAAGCCTTCAATAGAGGAAAAAATATCTTATTTTCAAGTTCAATGTTCCCGTAGTTCACACACACATTCCCAGTTTGCGTTTTTCTAAAACATGGCAGAGCAAATATGATGGGGTCCTCAAATGGCCTCCAGCCTAACTTTATGCTCTGCAAAAGCCAGTCCTTCCCCAAAATACCTACACACTAAGTTATACTGAAAGTAGATCATTCACCTAGCCTTACCCTTTCCTCCTGGGAAGTTCATTTTTGGAAACTGAATATTTCTTGTCAGTATATTTTGCTTAGGGCCACCCAAGTCTACACCAAAAAGTTTTCCTCTTCTAAAACTCCTTAGACAAATTAATTCTTTCTCTTCACCCAGCCCCACTTGAAAGCCCCACATTTGGCACAATAAGAAGGGGTGTCACACTACATCAAACCAAAGGCTGGGTTTCCTCTCTTCCACAAGGCAAGGACTTGCCTAACTAAGAAGGACAGCTGTAGGGAAGATTTCCAAAAGAGACATGCACATCTTACCTGGAGAATACAGAGCAGAAGCTGATATTCATTAATTTTTTGCCACCTCACCTACCTCCTTGTTATACACCAGTGGTTGATATAAATTATATTGAAATAAAGATGATTTGCCACGTTTTAATAAAATACATTATGCACCTGTTTGCTCCCATTCTTTTGAAACATTAGAGTGCTTATTAAATAAACCATAGGCTTATTAAGACTACTTATCAAATAAATCACAGATGATGCACTCTTGTGGATCATGTAGGTTTTATCCCTAACTGGTTGCAAACTCCCTGAGGACAGAGACAATGTGTATACTTTTTCTGACACTTCCATAGTGGGAAGGACATAGGATGGGTTTTATAAACATTTGTCGATGTATTGATTAATAAACACAACTAACTGATGTTTCAAATTATTTTTCCTCGGGCCTATTCTGTTTATTGGCTGTTAGATTCTTCAATATTTGTTCTCCTTTTTTTGAAGATAGTTAAGAAAGAAAATTGTATCTGTATTTTTAGTTACATGGATAGTTTTCAGCTGGCTGTTTAGCAAATTTTCATTGACTCTGATATTCATGTCCCCTCCTGTTAGCCTTATAAAGAAGGAGGCCTTACACACACACGCTGGTGTGCAGGTGGGCCTCTCACTTAACGTGAGCCCCAGTTGCGATAAACACCAAGTGTGCAAAAGCACCAGGCTACCCACCAGCCAACACTTGCTGAAATACCCCAGTCCAGTCAAGAAGCCTAAACCTCATAGCCTCCAGGGATAAGCAGTATGCAAATCTGGGGACAAGGGTAGTAAAAATTCAGTTTTTTAAGCTCCTGCTACAGTTTTTACTCCTTGTAATCCTTACTTTTTTGTGCCATCTCCATGTTCAACAATATCTCTTTCTGCACCATTGCAAATGGGAAAATAGGCTTACAGCTCCAAAAAACTGTATCAGAAATATATTTCAAATTTTCTTTGCATGTGGTAGCTTGCTATTGCATCACATTTCCTAGGTAAAAGCTTCATTCATTTTTCACGTGCACACCTAACTGACTCAACACTAGACTATCCACAGCTGCTGTCTCTGCCTTGTCGTGGAAATGCTGATATAGGCATCGGTTGCTTTTGTGTGGAATTACATGAAGGTAAGCAGTAGGAGAGGGTTGTTATCCTGTTTTTTTATTTTCACTCAAAAGCCACATTTTCACTTACTTACCAAAACAGCTAGTGCATATGCAGTTTACCCTTCGCAGTGGACCAACTCTGGCAGCCCCAACCCCCACGGGATTCCTGCAGATAACATCAAACGAGACAAGTAGAGCAAAAAACTAGGGTGAAATTGAATGTATCTTGGGGAGAAAAAGCCCTAAGCAATATCAGAGGTTTTATGAAAATTTTAAATAATGTAAACATTGCTGGTCTCAGGAAGTTTAATGATATGTGAACAAATTTTATATAGAAAAATTCAGGCTAAGGTTAGCCAGTAAAAAAACTCAGTTTTGGTTTCCCAAATAGACAGTTAATTTACTTTTTTTTTTTTTTTAAATCAAAGGTGGGAAGGCAAAGGGAAGTGTATGATAATGTGAAGACAGAGTTAGTCACAGTCAGTAGCAAATAGGGAGGAGGGATGCAGGGACTGAGTCTGTGGGAATACCACAGTGGGCGGCCAACGCGGGGGATGGCTGAGCTCAGGCCACGTCCTGGACCAGGTCAGGGAGCACAGCGTCCATATCCAAGGTGACACTCACTGAGAAGGCAAATGTACCAGGGCAACTGCCTCCCAAATTCATTTCAGGAATCCCAACGTTCTCCTCCAGGGAAATAGCTTTGACACTCTCAGTCTCATGCCTTCACATACCATTGACCAGTGCCTAAAATTCCTCTAATATAATTCAGCCTCAAATTGCCAAAAAGTAGCAAGATCCAAAATGCCTCAAAGAGTAACATTGTATAAAATGTATATCAAATAAAATGTAAGTATATCCGATGGAAGGTTTTTGTACGATGCAGAAACCTGGGTACCTGAAAGTAAGCAAAAGATGAGAGGAAGGATAAAGGGACCTCATATACAGGCAGTCAGAATTTATGGGAGTTTATTTATTTCTGAAAATTTATTCAGCTGGGTCTGCCAAGAAACATGAGCAAGGGTTTCAATTTCTTCATTAAGGGCCCATTTATTGAGCATGTATTATGCTCCAGGTCTCCTGCTAAAGCAAAAGGTATACACCAAAATATGGGCCGCATACTGCTATGCAGCCTAGCAAAAGAGGCATAGCCA